CCTGGCGCATCTTCCCAGGGCAGAGCCAGAATCACGTAGAAGCCCACTGTCCCAAGTCACCATGGTGAAGTGGGTCACTCTGGCTGGGCCTCAGTGTTGGACCTGCCTGCAACATGGAGCTACCATGAGCCCCACCCACCTCCCAGAACCACGAAGACGCAGGAAAACGTCTTATGGATTCCGTGTGGACACAGGTGGCTGAAAATCGAAGGCAGCTTTGTTTGTAACAGCTCCGCGCTGGAAAGAGCCCAGATGGGTGGGAAATAAACTGTGGTGCAGTCACATGATGGCAAGCAACAGGCAACCCAGAAGAGGCCACTGGCTCCCACAGAAACAGAGGTGAGCCTCCCAGACACCAGGTCCCTTGAAGCAGCCCAACACAGAAGCCAACATGCATATGACTCAATTTACATGAAGTTCAAGGACGGGAAAAACTCACTTCAGACGATGGGGGTAAGAACAGCAATTGCCTTTGGGGGATAATGACTTAGAGGGGAGCAGGACTGTTTCCGGGGTGCTGTTCCCAGAACTTGCTTTAGTTCCAATCTATGTAAAATTCTTTATTTTATTTTATTGTTTTGGGTACTAGGAATTGAACCCAAGGGTGCTTTACCACCAAGCTCTATCCCCAGTCCTTTTTGCTTTCCCTTTTGAGACAGGGTCTCCTGAAATTGCTGAGAGTCTTGATTAGATGCTGAAGCTGGCCTCAAACTTGTGATCCTCCTGCCTCAGCCTCTCCTGAAACAGGAGCTGATCTTTCACATTCTTTATTCCATCATTCCCTTCCTGTATCAGCCCCTCGCTATGGGCCAGGCAGTAGTCTAGAAGCTGGAGGTGCCGCCTCTCTCTCAGCCCGCCTTTGTGCAGTTGAGACACTGGTGGCATCTACTGTGAGCCAAGAGCAGAGGCCCTCCTCTCCTGACACTAGCATCTTCTTTCAAGCTGGTCCAAGTGGCAAAGAGTTGGGCACAGAATATCCAGGCTCCTTCTTGGTCTTTGCCTGTGGTGCCCAGGAAGAGAAAGGTGCCTGCCACATGGTCACTTAATCCAGCACAACCCAGCTCACGTAGCTAGAAGGCGGCAGGCAGAGAGTGCAAACTCAGGCTTCTGACTCCTGTGTCCCTACCCAACACGCCACTCCCACGGCCTCGTGAAGCCCGGCCAGCAGAGCCCTCTCTCTGGGCACCTGCAGTAGCCAGACCCCAGGATGGCCCTGTTGATTCTTACCTCATGGGAGAAACACCCTTCTGTAGGTTCCTCCTGCACCGAACAGGCCTGACCTGGGCACCAGGAAGATAATGTAGAAATAATAGCATGTGTCCTAGAAGGCGGGATACTAGACATGGTGGCTGGCCCTTGTTCTTTCTTGAAAGGCTCACACTTGGGAAACCAGCCACCGTGGTAAGGACACCCAAGCAGCCTAGAGAGGGGACCATATTTGGGAGAGGATCCTCCAGCCCCAGTGTGGCCATCAGAAGACTGAGCCCCAGCCACACCTCAACTGCCATCCCATGACAGGCCCCTGGCCAGACCTGGCCAGCTAAGCCCCTTCCAAAGTCCCTAGCCTCGGAAAAACTGCATCATCAATGTCTGCTGCTGCTTTAAGCTGTGAAAATTGGGGTAATTCGTTACATGATCTTGCTGCATCTAGGGCTGAGGATGTAGGCCAGGGGTGGAGTGCCTGCCTAGCATGTTCCAATCCCTAGTGCCAAACAAACAAACAAGATACGAACTTTCATATTGCTGTGCATAAATACCACAGCCCCCTTCAGAGCCATGGGTTCCTACTGCAGGAAAAGTCTGGAAGATGGACTGTTAAGACACTCAGACCAGCCACTACAAGAATAGGCTGATTTGGAGATGATCAAGAGCGGCAAGAGATCCCCAGGGTGCCGGAGAAGTGTGGGGAAGACCAAGCAAAGCAGAAATCCCGGAGCCTCCTTTCCTCGAGTTTCTCGCGCACTTCATCTGTCTCAGTAAAGGGAACCACGTGCTCCCAGGCGCTGCCTGAGACCTGGGAGCCAGGCTTGAGCCGGCTGTCACCCACCCGTCAGGGCTCCAGGCTCTTCTGCAGAATGCATTCCACACGCGACCCCACGCACTGCTCTCCTGTGAGTCCCTGGGCCACGCCACCCGCCCAACCCACGTGGGCAGTGTGAGCAGCCTCTTGGGTCCCATCCTGGCTCCTCCTGGGCGCCTGTCCATGGCCAGAGCGCTCTCCTCACAGTGAAGACTGGATCGCAGCTGCCATGCTCAGAACTCTGCAGTGTCCCACTTCCTAGCCACACCACCTTCTTCCCAGCACAATGAGCTCGTCCCACCCAGGGTCTCTGCACTGGCTGCTCTCCTCCTTCCCAGGGGTGTGGCATTGCTGGCGTCCCACCTCACTTCCTCCAAGAAGTCCTCCTGGGCCACCTCGCCTGTCCTCTCGGACCCCCTGCTCTAGCCCCACTCCTTCTTAAATTGTTTGCCTTTTTTCTGTGTGAGAGCGGGTCTCACGGAGTTGCCCAGGCTGGCCTGGAACTTGTGATCCTCCTGCCTCAGCCTCCTGAGTCACTGGGATCACAGGCATGCGCGACCATGCCCGGCTGGTTCGCCTATTTATCGTGTCTGCCCATTAGAAGGTAAGACTCATGAGGGCAAAGATCGTGCCTGTCTTGCTCCTGTAGAACAGTGTCCCGCCCATGGCAAGGGCTTAGGTAACAGTTGTTTAATGAATCCCATCTGGAGCAGGGGATGGATCAAACGACCTCCAAGTTCATCTGGTTAGAAAACCCGGAGTACAGCCCTCCGCAGTGTGCTCTGGGGCTCCGGCTGCCCTGGCCAGCAGAAGGGAAAGCCAGGAGGGGGTAAGAGCTGTGGTTTCAGGAGCAGACTTGCCAGCTGGGTGGAGCACACCCCACCAGTGGGTCCATTTCCTATAGAGGAAAATCCTATAAAAAGCCCCATCTGTCTGGCCACTGCCCTGCCTGGCCCACCCCCTCCCCTCTTGGGTGGCCTCTGGGGCTGAGCAGAGCCGGACTGCTGCAGCCTGGAGCATCTGAGCCCCCAGCAGGTGTGAGAATTGCCAGGCAGGCCGCACCCCCCGGGGAAGTCATCTCTGGCATCCCTCTGTCTCCACACACGAGGCTGCCGCCCAAGAAGGGGCCATCTTCTGCCACATCTCTCTAGGTCACTGAGTCTCCCCTTTCTGGGCCCTATGTGACGAGTCCATTCATCCCATTAGCCTTCTGCATGTATCCTTCTACTGCCCAGAGATGGAAGGGGAGGAGGAAGGGCAGGGGGGATGGAGAAATGTCTCCCCAGGCAGGAGGAATCAGAAGGAAGCACAGAGGTCCAACGACTCGGGGAAGTCACTCAACCCTGTGACACCTCGACTTCCCCATCTTTAAGACAATATGATCTTTGGCCTCTGTTTTATGCTCTAATGGAATTAAAAGAATAAAATCTCACCATGCACATGAAATGCTTTCGAAGGCATGGCACAAAGTGTGGTACAAAGGCTCATTGCTATTAAGAGACGCAAAAGCAGGAAGAGGGGTAGGAAAACAGAGACTGGAGAGGAACCAGAAATCTGGGGTTAAGGGTAGAAAACTGCCCGAGAACAGAACAAGGAGGAGCATGGAGGGAGAAGAAGAAACTCCCCACCTGAAGATAAGGCTGAGGGGACAGAAAAGCAGGAGATAATACGAGGGGCAGAAAACTCACCATACTGATGTGCCTACAGCAAGCCACAGGCCCTTTGCACCTCAGCTAGGAGAGTGCACATCCTGGAGTCTACAGATGCGACTGGGGAGACCACATCCCTCAGCAAACAGTGTACACAGTTTAGGCAAGATCTCGGGGGTGGGGTAGGGGGCAGATCCCTCACTGATCCCTCACTCCATCAGTATCTTGCCCTCCCATCAGCATCCCTTTCCCATTGGCATAAACCATGACGCTCAGAATTCTACTCCTCAAAGACCATGTTTTTGAGCACCTACTATGTGTTAGGCACAGGCTTGGCACTTCACACACCTCACCTCATTTAATCCTCATAAGGTACACTCCTTATTCCCACATCCTTGAGGATGAAACAGCTCCCAGAGGTACATGAGTTGCCCAAGGCCACCCAGCTAATAGGAAGGGAGCAAGACACACCAGATAGGGAGCCTCCATGGCCCATATGCTCCTCTCTGAAGCATCCTCCCTGGGGAGGATGCTTCCATTCTCTGAGTGCCTTCCCGAAAGGTCAAGTGTGAAGGGCAAAGTGGGGGAAAGGGCAGGGAGGGCAGAAGCCATGACAGGAGAAGGTGCCCAGCTGGCTGCTTGGGAAGGGAAGGCAGTCCGCCAGGCAGAGTGCAGCCTGAGCAGTTTCCTTCCAGAACTCTCAACCCACCCTGGTGTCCCCACAGCCCCATACTCCAAGCAGCGACCTAAGGCTCCTTTGTCCAGGCCTGAGAGGAGCCTGGACAGCCAGGACACAGCTCCAGTCTCCAAGCTTCAGCGGCCCAGCCAGGAAACGCTGAGGGCTACAGTGGGGCGTGACCGTGAGGAGGGGTGGGACAGTGGCTCCCACGGTACCCAGAGCCCGCGCAGCGATCCAGATCTCCATCCCCGTCCCCCACCTCCCCCGCTGGCCCGCTTCTCCCTCCCTCGGGGTCCTATGGCTTGGACACTGAATTTTCCCATGATGGCCAAATTGGGCCAGCTAGGGCTCCCCGAGGCCCGCCAGCAAATGAGGCGCATCGCTCCCTCGTTCGCCCCGACTCCGCGGAGAACCAGGAAAGCACCCTCGAGGTCCCTCCCTCGGACTCCGTCCCGCCAGCCACCTCCTGCAGGCGCGGTGCCCGCCACCCGGCCTCCCGCCCCTCCACCCGCAGCCCGCCCGGCCTTCGCCATCACCTTGACCTGCGCCCGCTCCCGGGCCCCCGCGCTTTGCATAAACAAAGAGAGGAGGAGGGACGCGGGCACCGCCCCCGCCCCGCCGGCGCCCCCGCGGTCCGGCGCGCGCCCCTTACCTTGGCCTGGCATTTCCGATGACAGGAGAAGCTGCAGACTGCGGAGGGCAGACAGAAAGAAAGTTTTAGCCGCGAGGTATGAAATGGAAACTCCGCGAAATCTCCTCCCACCCCGCCCCGGCCGGCGCTCGGAGGGAAGGAGGGAAGGAGGGAAGGAGGGAAGGAGGGAAGGAGGGAAGGAGGGAGCCCCGCAGAGGGCGGGCGCAGGGGGCGGCGGCCGCGCTCCGGGCCTGCGGGCGGGCGCCCGGGACGACCGGCCTCGGGCGGGCGCCGGAGGCGGAGGAGCGCGGGCCCGGGCGCCGGCTCCCCCGCTGGACCCCGGCCAGGGGCCGAGGGAGCCGGGACCCAGGCCCCGTGCCAGCCCCGCCGCGGAGCAAGGGCCCGTCTCGCCTTACACCCCGCGGGCGGGCAGACCCCGCCGGCCTCGCACTGCACCCTCCCGGGCGGAGGGCCCGTGCGCACAGGCAGACGGTCACCCTCCGGCACACCCAGCACCGCTGCCCGGGCCCACAGGGCTCACCCACATACCCATGCCACCCTCTGACCAGGCACCAACACTCAGGCGGTCTCGTGGAGACCCTCGGAGTCCGCCGGCCTGGCACAGATTTGGGGATACAGACGTGAACACGCTCGCACAGGCTCCATGCGCAGGAGCGCGCGCACACTCACACACAAACACACACACACACACACACCCTCGCAACTTGCCCCCACCCCTCCCACTACCAGAAGCTGGAATCAAATTTCCTATCAGGTTCCCAAAGCCTGGAATGTCCCCAGCCCCACCTCCCCCAAAGGGCCCTGGGACTCCGTGGAGGAATCTGGCAAACCCCCTCCTCTCAGGAGCCGGCTGAGGGGTCTCCTGGGCTGATTTCCGCGCTGACTTGGGTCTTGTCTGCCCCAGACGCACTGAAGCACGTGGGTGGGGCACTGGAAAGAGGAAGACCCTCAGACCCAAAAGGCCAGCAGCCACACACAGCCCAGGGCCACGCTCACACTACCTTGGCCACTGAGCACACAGTCTATGGCGCTTTGCCCCACTCAGCTTGGAGCCCACCTGATTCTCAGAAAAACGCAGCTGGGGGGTCTCAGGTAGGTGAAGGCCCCAGGCAGGGCGGGGAAAGAAGCTCCAGGGCTCTCCACCTGGGGACTCTGGTTTGTTTGAGGCATCCTTTGGGCGTGAGGGTGGGAGAGGCTGCAGGCAAACTGGGTGGAGCCTGGGATGTGACCTTGGCACTGGCCCTAGCTTAGGACCTTCTCCCAACCCAGTCCTGGCCCAGTTCAGGCCTGTGACTCAGCTGGTGGTGAGCAAGGCTTTCCTGACCCCCAACAGCCAGGGACATCACCCTGGCCACACCAGGACACATTCCCCTTGGCCACCCAAGGCACACCCACGGGTCTAGCGCTTTGGCTTCTCAGCTGTCCCCATGCTCCTTACCCCAGGTGGCAGCTGTCTCCCTTTCGGAAGGTGTTCCCTCTCTGACCCTTCCCAGCCCCACCCCCGGGCCCTCTTTGTGGCCAGGGAACACAGAATTGAGAAAGCCTCAGCCTTGAGGCCTGAGTCTGCAAGGCCCTCCCTGGGCCGCTGCCTCCAGATCCAGGGACCTCCCCATTGGCCAGCTGTGGGCTCTGTCAAGAATGGGACACCTCCCTCTCCCTCTCTCTCCCCACCACCACCACCACACACATGCACACAGAAAACGGGCAACGCAGGACAGGCTTCATAAATGTTTGGGTTGGAGCTGACTGGAGATCCCTGGAGTGTGTGCTGATAGCCACCCCACTCCCTCTCAGCCTCTTCCTGTCCTGTAACCCCCCTCAACATCTCATGGTCAGAGGCAGCTCTGACGTCCACCTCTCAACCCCAGTCTAGACACCAGGGGCACAGGGGGGTCAGAACCTGGTCTTCCAGCCTCTCCGTGTTTCTGACAGTTCCCATAAATCAGCGAGCTCACTCCTACCTCAGGCCCTTGGCTCTTGCGGCTCCAGCTGCTGGGGACATTCCTCACCCTCTACTGGGTGGAATCTCTCTTGCCCTCTGGAATCCTTTCAAAGCCATCTCCTCAAAAGGACCTTTCCTAACCGCCCAAATTCGAGTGGGTCGCCCCTGTTCTTAGTCAGCTCCTGATCATTTCCTTCTCTGCACAGTTCACCATCTGAAACATCTCCAGTAATTTCCAGTAGCTTATTTATAGATCAGTGCCCATGTCCCCACACCACGTCCCCAACAGCCAGGACGCTGTCTGCTTCAGGTCTGAAGGACCGGACAGCATCTTTGTGCAAATTAGACAAAGGTCCACCATCTGGGCAGGCCAGCCCCATGACACACAGCTGGGGATGAGTGTGCTCTGTCCCTGGGGAAATGGAGAGGAGGACCCTTTCCCCAGGCAGGTCCCGCCCTGTGCCAGGACCCACCGCATGACAAGCAGAGCGTGGGCTGATTCCAGGACTCCCTCCAGCAGACACCCTTGGAGGTGCCCAGCCTGCACAACTGTACAGGGCAGCCTGCCTGGCACAGAGGGGCAGGCGGTCAGCAAATGCCCTCAAGTGGAAACCAGGAGGAGAAATCTTTGGGCAATCTTGGTACAGTGTGCCCAGTGCCCCCCTCCACCCCAGCCTGCCCTTGGCTGTGTACAGCAGGGGGTAAGAAAAGACCTCCACTAGTTCCCCGCCCAAAAGTCAAAAGCTCAGCAAACTGAACACAAGTGGCAAGTGGTAGGTTCCCATCAGGTCCAAGTGACCAAGCCCCATCTTCAGAAGCACCTACCCTCCACCCCAAGGAGGCCTTCCCTCTGAGTCCCCTCCAGGGGTGCCTCTTTTGCATTCTTGATCACCTTCTCAGGTCTTCTCCCGAGGGGCAGTGCTTCCTACTGTCTACCTGGTCTCCCTCGTGCTGTCATCTGAAGCATGGGCAAGCACCTCTCAGAGCAATGAACCATCCAAGGGTGTCACGGAGCGTTCTGTTCCTAGCTCACACCTTCTGTCAGCCTCCCCCACTCTGACACTGCCATCAGCGCTACAGCTTGGATCTGGTGTCCCCCTGAGATCCCTGTAGTGATGGCGTGGTCCCCACCCTGTGGCACAGTTGGGAGGTGGTGGGAGGACACTGGGCCATGTGGGCATGCCCTGGATGAGGATATGGGGACCATGGCATGAGCCATGACGCTCTGTGCCCCCATTGGCCCAAAGAACGGGGCCGAGTGACTGGACTGAAGCTGAGCCACTGTAAACTGTCTTCCTTCACATTGATGTACCTCCAGGTTTTCGTCGCCGTGAGTGGAACTCTGACTGAAGGAACTCTGACTGACACACAGTGCAGCAATGTGGCATGTGACTTCCCAGGCAAGGCCATCAAGCCACTCTGACCTCAGCCTCAGTCTCCTGATGACTCACCTGGGGGAGGGCAGTCCCCGTGTTGAGGGGACGCAGGGGCAGCCCAGTGGGGCAGCCATGTGAGGAGGAGCTGAGGCCCCGAGCCACCAGCCAGCCCCAGCCGGGCAGGCCTGGGAGGGTGCCGTGCTGGGAGGGGACGGTCTCGGCCTGCAGATGAACACAGCCTGCTCTCACCTTGGCCCAGCTTTTGAGAGACCCTGAGCCAGAACCAGTCGATAAACCACTGAGTTTGGGGATCGATTTCTACACAGCCACCGAGAACGAATCTAGAGGCCAGAGCTCAGGAGCCAGGCACAGAGGCACACCCCTGTCATCCCAGAGACTGGGGAGGCTGAGGCAGGAGGATTGCTAGTTTGAGGCCTCCCTCAGCAACTTAGGGATGTGGCTCAGAGGATTCAGTCCCCAGGAAAACACCCAGCCACACACCGAGACCTGCCCTTCGTGGAAGAGGCAGAGCAGCTGCCCAGGGCTGTCTGGAGGCAGGGTCCCCCGCAGGCCCTGTGGTCTCACACTCCTGCACCTGCCTTTCCCCCGAGAACCCTCGGATTGACAACACCTGCACAGGAGGGCCCCCAGCTCTCCTCCCGCTGTGCTGTGGCAGCCCATGGATAAGGTCAGCTGACCCCTTGCTGTGTCCCTCCTGAATTCACAAGCTGGATCCTAAGGCCCAATGTCACAGTACTAAGAGGTGGGGCCTGCAGGAAGTGGCCAGGCCACGAGAGTTCTGCCCTCCTGAAAGGCCCTGGGCAGCCTGTTGCCCTTGCATCCCTCCAATCTCAATGTCCACCCACTCTGGAAACAGACCAGGCCTCCCCAGACAGGATCTACCCGTGCCTTGATCCTGGACCTACAGCCTCCAGAACTGTGGGCCATGAACTTCCGTTGTTTATAAACGACCCAGTCTAAAGCATTTTGTTACAGAAGCACAACAGACGGAGACGCTGCCCCTCACAGTTGCCACCTGCCTCTTCCTCGCGCCAAGAAGGAAAAACCTGGGTTCCAGCCCTGAAGCTGTCTGTCCCAGCCTGAGGCCGCAGGACACTCCCTCCCCAGGGGCCATTTCTCACTGGGGCCTGCAGCAGGTGCGGGAAGAACAAGGTAGGAACCGGCAGCACCCTCCCCTGGCACTGTCCCTCAGGTGCCCAGGCCCTCCCTGGACACGTCTTGGGCTGACCGGGGCCTTCCAGCTCTAGGGCCTTGCAACCAGACCCCCACGGCACCCTCCAGAACCAGCACCCCTGCAAGGCGAGGCCCAGGGCAGTGCCTGTGACCACAGCTCCGAGGACACCAGCAGCCCCGGGCCTGCCATGGACGTCCACAGTGTCCACAGGGCAGGGCCAGTGGTGGCCTGCGAGGGAGCAGAGCCCCTGGGGGACAGGCCCTTGGGTACCCGCTAGGGGGAGAACTGCGCCCCACGCACAGCCCTTGGCTGGGGCTCCCACCCCAGCTGGCTGCCGGACGCTGTCCTGGGGTGGCTTCCTGCTCTCGGGAACACAGGAAGCCAACATTGTTGGGATCTAAATGGCCTTTTCCTCCTGGTCTCGCGTCGGAAAATGAGCACATGGCCTCAGTGTGCACCAGCGTGCCTAGCCCGGCCTCCCACCACCTCAGAGGGGCTGGCCTGCCCGCCCACCTGCTCTCCAGGCCACTCGCTCGGCCTTGCCCTGCCCACTGCTCATGGCCTGGGCTGGAAGTAGGCAGTGGTTCATTTCATTGTTAATTTGGCCAAGCCAGAGTACCCAGATGTTTAGTCAAACATCACTCTAGATGTTTCTGCAAAGTTATTTTTAGATGGGATTAACATTAAGATCATTAGACTTTGAGTAAAGTATGTTCCCCTCTGTTATGTGGGTGGGCCTCGTCCAACCCGTTGAAGGCCTTTATAGAAAAAGACCTTCCCAAGAAGAGGAAGTTCTGCCCGCATACTGCTTTTGAACTTGAACTACAACTCTTCCTTGGGTCTCCAGCCTGGGGCCCACCTACAGATTTCTGACTTGCCAAAACTCCATAACCACATGGGCCAAACCCTTAAAAATAAAGCTCTATGGGGCTGGGGCTGGGGCTCAGAGGTAGCGCACTTGCCTGGCATGTGTGAGGCACTGGGTTCGATTCTCAGCACCACATATAAATAAGTAAAATAAAGTCTATCTAAAAAAAATATTTTTAAAAAATAAAAAATAAATCACTCTCTCTCTCTCTCTCTCTCCCCCTCCCCCCTCCCCCCACACACATCCAGTTGGTTCTGCTTTTCCAGAGAATTCTGACTAATACAAGGTGTCTCGGGGTAGTCAGGGGAGGGGTAGCCAGGGGGCACCGTGTGGTTCCAAAGTAGGAACAAAGAAACCTTCGAGATCATCCCGCCCAGTGGTTTTCTGTTTCATTTTAAAGCTAAACTGTTCATGCAGACGGTTTGGAATCCGAGTGACGCTGGTTAGGATGGAATGGATCTGTTAATCCCAGGGACTGGGCTCTGATCTGAGCACTCTGTGTAGTATCTCACTTAACCCCTACAGGCACACCAGGAGGGGGGTATTGCTATTTCTCCCATTTTAAAAGTGAGTCAACAGGCTCCAAGCAATGAAGCAGTCTGCCCCAGGTCTCACTAATAGGGCCAGAGCTGGGATTGAATCCAGAGCCTTCTTCTAAGCCCTGTGAAAGACTGTCACACCGTCCCACCTACTCCTATATTTAACTCCTCAAACAAGAGCTTTTCTGGTTCAAAGGGGCAGGGATTCCAGAGCCCTGATCAAGCCTCCCCTTTCCTCACCTCTAGGGCCCCCAGAGCACCCCCAAGCACCTGACGGCTCCTTTGGAATGCAGTTCAGATCCTCTGGTCTATTCCAACCCCTTCATTTTAAAGAAAAGGGTGAAATCGGTTCCAGGGGAGGTAAGCAGCTCTCCCAAGGTCACCCAGCCGGACAGTGGAAAGCCAGGACCAGCAACCCAGGTCTTCACTGGGGTCGGCAGTGACCGAATGCATGGTTACATGGTGTACGTGGATGAATATGTGACCACGAATTCCACTGGGATAATTATATAATTATCATGCACTGATGAAAACATGGGGGAAAATAGATAAAAATGAGTGGTGTCCAAAAAAAGAAAGAGAAAAAGTGACCCGGGGTTTTCCATTCTATCAGGAGCCTCTGGTGGCTCCACAAAGGTCCTCAGAGAGAAGGTGGGAGTTGGGGATCCTCGGTGACACAGGGAGAGGAGCTCCCAGGACCAGGGTCCCCCCAGTCCATCCTCTGGGTGGGCTGGTGCTGTTGTCTTCCCAGGTGTGTCTTGCTTTAAGGAAGCGTCAGGTGACTGTCCCCCTTCTACATTGAGAAAAGAAGTGGCCCAAGCCTGGGCCCCAGACCAGGCCCAGATGGCAGCCCTTGGGCTCCCGAGCCGGCCTTCCGGTCCTTTCCCTTGGGTTTCAGCCTAGAGGGAAACTAGGATTTTGAACCAGGCTCTGAGTCCCTCAGCCTCCCTCTGAGGTCTCCCGTGTTCTCCGGCCCCTGGAGCCCCTCCCCGAGGCCTGGTGGGAATCCAGTTTGGACCAAGGAGCTCCCACACGGCCCTCAGGACCCAGCCCACCCTTCCTGCTGGAGCCTGGCATCCTCTCCTGCACACTGGGTCACCCTGACACCACAGCCTAGGGACGGGCTGTGTGTCTGTCTTCCATGGCCAGCGGCTGGCTCTTGGCACCAGCACCTGGCACAGTCTAGGTCCAGGTGACAGCTCTGCTTATGAGCGTCAGGTGGCCACACAGGTGCCTGGAGGGGTGACGTAGCAGGGTTCCCTGAAGAGGTCTCCGGCTTTCACAGAGTCCCACAGGGAGACTTCCCAGGCCCTTCCACTGCCTGGGCCTCAGAGAGAATCCTGAGCCCAGCTCCCTTGTCTCTCATGACAAGTGACTCACCCCAGGCCACACAGGGTGTCCAGGCCACCCCTCACCGTCCTCTCATCCCTCTCTGTATCTGTCACTCAGAGCCGTGGTCCCTGGCATCAGCCCCCCTTATTCACACACAGAACCTCATTGTTCTACCCATAACCAGCCCCTGGGAGACGCAGGACGAGGCTCTCTGATAACCCCGTCACACACAGCCACGGCCCCGCCAAGTCAGAGGCTCCGGTCCCTGCCGCCTCTCTGCCTGCACACCTGCTGCACCTGGACAGCTGTCCACCTTAGTTCCTTGTCCACTCTGCTTGTCGTTGAGTCTCCTAGAACCAGGCTGGACTCCAGGTCCCCTGACTCCCTCAACGTCCAGCCCTCCTATGGGCCGGGGGTGTGGGGAGAAAAGCCACAGGGCAGGGCCTCCAGGGGGAAGCAGGTGGCTGCCCCAGGCTCCCAGATGGAGGGCTTCCCCAGGGCCTGTCACCCCCAGCAGAAGCTCCCTCAGTGCTGAAAGCCCTGTGGAGACCGTGAATTCAGGGCCCTGATAGTCTGCACCCCACCCCACCCGTCACCTAATCTAGATGCTGGCCCCAGCTCAGGCCAGACTTGAGGACAGAGAAACCAGAGGGCTCAGGAAGCCTTGGAGCTGGGCTCTGAGTAGAATGTGGGCTGGGGCTTCCTCTGCCCTGGCCCTCCCAGGAACAACCTGTACAACTCTTTCTGGTGGCCCTGGATGGGTGGGTGGGTGGGAGGGTGGATGATGGGATGGATGGGTGAGATGACTGGATAGAGGATGGATGGGTGATGGATAAAAGGATCTATTCACCTTGTGCCACCACAATCTCCAGGTTCCAAAGCACAGAGGGTGGATCCACTTCCTCCTTTGCCACCCGTGAGGCCAGGCCTGCAGAGGGTGACATAGGGCTCTGGTGCCAGGAGTCTCCCCTCTTTGTGGGACTGGCCCCTGGGCCTTTGGTAGCTCAGCCCTGCCACCTAGTGGTGCTCTGGAGTATAGCCCTGGCTTCCTCCCCTCTTTCTGGCCAACCTTCCACTCTCCACCGGTGCCCAGTGGGGCTGCCAAACAAGCTTGGCCATCCACCCTCCTCTCTGGTCCACACCAGCAGGGCAAGGCTGGGATCTGGGTGAGATTAGGGCCACCTCTTGCTCACCTTGGGAGCTTTACATAAGTCAAGATCCCCTGTCAACCCAAGCACTCAGGCCAGGTCAGCTGGGAAACCCAGGACCAAGGTAGGAAGTAGCCAAGGAAGACTGTAGCCAGAGATGTGCCTGAGGTGACACAGTGAGAGTCCCTAGGACTTCCTTCTAGCCCTACCCCCCAGCTGCCTCCTCTCCCAGCAGCTCTGGAAGTTCCTGGGTGAGGGGAAGGGAGAGGCTGGAGGAGAGGGGGAGGGGAAACTAGCTTATGCAGCCTCAGGTGGGTGGGGTGGGGACTGTTATTAGACAAAATGCAAACCCCTCCCTCGCAGCACCTCTCCACATCTCTGGCTGGCACCCTAAGCCACCAGCAAGTCCCAGGCAGACCTCTTGGGAGGAGGGCGACACCATGTGGCTAATTTTGGTATTGCAGAAGTTCTGTCGGATGCCTCACCTCCTGCGGGGTATCCCCAGCCTGACTTCAGTTAAGGACCATAAATAACCCTCTGCCTTTCACCCATGGCAGACCGGCCTGGAAGGCCATCCACACACACGCTCCCATAGGCTCAGTCCCTTGCACATTTCCAGCCACACAATCCTGCCTCCAACACCCAGCCGAAAGGCCTCGACTCCCCCAGAGACACCTGAAAAGCCCAGTGTCACCCTGCCAGCCTGGGCAAGAGATATGACCACCACCAGCCTCAGTCGCCTCATCTGTAAGATGGGGATGGCACCGGGGCCTGCCAGACGCTGTGAGCAGTGATGAGGTCAGGCCGGTGAGTACGTGGTGCTCAGTAAGTGCTGCAGAAATCCTCTCCCCAGCCCAGCTCAGACTGCAGCATGGAGCGAGGCAGCAGGAAGAGAGGCCACTGGGGAGGACCACATGAGCAGGACTCCAGGGCAAGAGAGAGCCCTGCCCACTGGCAGAGTTGACACAGTGGCCTTCGTGGGGCGCAGCTGGTTTGAGGATGCGGTTGGAGGCGGGGACGTGGGGCAGGGAGCTGGGAGGGCTGATTCTGTCAGACCCCACATCGTGGGAAGGCTGGGCTCCATCTTAAGGGTAGCGGAAGCCCCCCAGCTTTAGCCAGGGCAGGGACTTGACTAGATTTACACTTTCATGTCCCACGGGAAGCTGGTGCAGAGCTGGATTAGAGAAGAGTGCTCAGGAAATGGTGGCTGCCCTTGGCCATCCAGGGGAGACGCTAGCAGCTGAGCCAGGGATGCTGTGGGGGAGCTCAGCGACTCTAGCTGACTTCGGGGCCCTAGTGATTGAAGGAATGTGGGGTGAGGAGAGGAAGGCATCTGGCAGGGCCACGGGTTGGAGAGTGGCATGGGTCCAGAGCCTGCTGCAGGGGCTCCTGTGACTCCCCCATGATCTGGGACAAGACACCAACTTCTCTGGAGCAGCGATGGCCACACTCCGGCCTTTCCAGGAACATATGAGAATAGGGATTGGAAAGCCCAGCAGCCAGCCCGTCCTCCCCTGACTCTGATCTGAGGCCTCTTAAGTTACCCCAAGCTGCCACAAGGGGAGGAATGTGGCTTGGCTTCTTTGCAGTACTCCCAGGGCCAGCCACACGCCACCCACACACCTTCCACACACCACCCACATGGCTTCCACAGGCCCTGCAACACCTCAGCCACGTGACCTCCAGGTGCCTTCCCCACACCCTCCCCACGGTTCCCACACCCCAGCCAACGAGCCATCCGCACACCACCACATGCTACATGCTACGCACACGCCCTTCCCCACACCGTTTGCATGCCTCAGGGTGCCAGCCAGACGTTCACACCACGCACAAGGTTACTCAGCTCATCCTCAAGCCACCTGCCACGCCCATGCCACCCACCACCTGCCACGGGCCACCCACACGCTCCTACACACCACCACCCAGGGAGCCCAGCCTCCTTCCCCACGTGAGAACCAGGCACCCGCTCAGAACCCAAGGACACGTGCCAGCAGAGTTCCAGTCTGAGCTGGGCTTCCCCTGGTGACCCGCTCCCCCAGCTCCAGTCAGCCAGCCGCTCACCTTTGCAGGTGCAGCCCTCCCGGGTGATGGCCTGTCGGCAGATAGCACAGGGCTTCACCTTCTTGAAGGTCTTCACCTTGAAGTGGTGGGTCTTGGGGGCCTCCAGATCCTCTGGCTGTGGAAGGAGAGGCACAGGGGTCAGCCTGGGGTGAAGGCTGGGGTCCTGGGGAGGGGCTGGGGCTCTGGAGGAGGAGGAGGCAGGAGGAGGGAGGAGGGGAGGCCAGAGCCCCTTTGTGGGCGGAAGGAGGGAGGAGGTGCCCAGGGACTGTAAACAGTGTGAGGTGACCAGACACTCACCCTGGGCTCAAGGACTTGCATGGAGTCCATGATGAGGGTTCAGACAGCACCTGAAGACTGAGAACCCTGGGACCACAGACCCCTCTGTGTCTTACCAGTCATTTTTTTTTATTTACTTTATTCTTGGGGCATGGCTTTCCCACAGTGTAGTGCAAGAGTTAAACGTGCAAGAGCAACTTGGGCACGGTGGTACACACCTGTAATCCCAGCAGCTTGGGAGGCCGAGGCAGGAGGATCACAAGTTCAAAGCCAGCCTCAGCAGAAGCAAAGCCATAAGCAACTCAGTGAGACCCTGTCTCTAAATAAAATACAAAATAGGGCTGGGGATGTGGCTCAGCGGTTGAGTGCCCCTGCGTTGAATCCCTGGTACCCCAAAATAAATAAATAAATAAATAAAAATTAAAGAGTTTAAATGTCCTGCTTAATTGAGCTGAGCTGTGGCTCAGAGGTTGTCTGGTGTGTGGGAGGCCCTGGGTTCCATCCCCAACACCCCAAAACAGAAAGGTTTTGCTAAATACAACTTGATACATGTGCACCCCATATAGCCAAGCCCCAGAAGGCTCACTGCTGACCCCTCCAAGTCAGCGCCTCCCCTACATAAATCTCACTGGGACTTCTCTCCAAAGAATCATTGCGTGTCTTTTTGGTTTGGGGGGGTTTCGTTGGTGACGGTGGTCTTTGGTGGTGGTGTTTGGGGGGTGTGTGTGTGTGTGTGTGTGTGTGTGTGTGTGTGTGTGTGATGCAGTACTGGGGATCAAACTCAGGGACACTCTGCCACTGTGTTGAAGCCCCAGTCCTTTTTATTTATTTATTTTTATTTTGAGACAGAGTCTTGCTGAGTTGCTAAGGCTGGCCTCCAACTTGTGATCTCCCTGCCTCAGCCTCCCCGGTCTCTGGGATGAGAGGTGCACGCCCTGGAGCTGAGTACCATTTTGCCAGGGTTTCGACTTCCTGACGTGGTGCTGCGCGTACTCTGTGTCGGGCTTCCCTCAAGCAACACTAATCTGTGAGATGCCCCCACCTTGTCCCATGTCCCTTCTGGGCCCATGCTCTGTGGTATTGCTCTTACAGATACAGCAGGCACCCATCATTTCACTGCTGATGGTCCTCGATGTGCCACCCATGTCCCAGCAGGTGGGTTCCTCCCCTCTCTCACTCTCTGCCCCTCCCCACACCCCCAGTGCAGGAGACTTCTTCTATCTTTATTTTTACTTCCTATTCTCTGCATTATGAAAACACGCACCACAATTTTGTCTGTTTGTCTCTTGGGCAGTCTGGGATTGACCCAGGACCTTGTGCATGCTAAGCACGCGCTCTGCCTCTGAGCTACACTCCAGCCTATGAAAATGTTAAAATTCCTATTTTAAACTGCACTGCCAAGCACGTGAGAAGAGGGAAGACAGGTGGTTGGACTCCTCCTCTCTGTCTGACTTGCCAGAAGTCCTTGGCTAGTAACCACTCTCCCCTCCCACTGGCCACAGCACCACACCCCTCAAGCACTTGTTGACTTTTGTTTTGTTGTGTTTGTTTGTGTTTGTACTGAGGATTGAACAACCAGGGGGTGCTCTACCACTGAGCCACATCCCCAGCCCTTTTTATTTTTTATTTAAAGACAAGAATCTTGCTAAGTTACCTAGGGCCTTGCTAAGTTGCTGAGGCTGGCTTTGAACTCATGATCCTCCTGCCTCAGTCTCCCAAATCACTGGGATTACAGGCATGTGCCACCACGTCCAGCTCCCCCAGCCCTTTTTAAAAATTTTTGTTTTTAGACAGAGCCTTGCTAAGTTGCCCAGGTTGGCCTTGAACTTGTGAACCTCCTGCCTCGGCCTCTTGGGTGGCTTGGATCACAGGTGTGCGCCACTGCACCCAGGTTTTATCCGTCTTTGTAACCATGCAAGGAAACACACTGAATTGCAAAACCCCTCATAGACGGGCCCACTCTGGGGTCCCAGTCCAGGCCCAGGCTGGGGGAGCTCCCAGGTCAGAGGACTCCCAGGGAGAGACTCCTGCCCCAGGCACTCCCCTAGTGTCTACCCCAACTCTTCCTTTTCCTGCAGGGGCATGGAGTTCACTGCAGAAGGGACTCCTGGGGGAAAGAGAGCATAAAAAAAAAAGTAAGAAAATCAGATAAAATGAGACAGAGTCCAAGACAGAAGCCAGAAAGGCAAAGAGGCAGAGAGAAATAGAGACGGAGAGAGTGAGACAGAGAGAACCAGGCAGTGGGGGTAATAGAGACAGACAAGGGGGAAAGAAGACCAAGATAAACACAGAGACAGGACAGCACACAGGAGCATGAGTAGATGAAGACACAGAGACCCAGAGGGACCCAGAGGACCACAGAGGGACAGACGGACAAAAGGACACGGGAGCTGCCAACAGCCAAATCTGCAAAGATCAGAGCATCCAAATACATAATGATAGTGAAGGCTTCAATGAGCCCATTGTGGTACAAACAAATGAATGAGTGATTGGATGTTTGATGAGAAATAGGATATTTACCTAGTCTTAAGGCACTTTCCACCTCATAGTCATAAATTTTACGGGGGGGGGGGTGTAACTTTTCCTGGCAGGCTCCGCTTTCATCAAGTGATCAAAGTTCCCATTCCCAGCGAAGGGACAAATGGAAGTCACGGGCCTCGGAGCAGGTGACAGAGCAGAACATCACCTCTCCCATATCTCTGCCAAAAAGCCACAACCTGAATCTAATCAGGAGGAAACATCAGGCCAACACAGACTGAGGCACAGTCTTCAAATTAAATGGCCTGGAATCTTCAAGTGTGATGAGGTCATAAATATCAAGGCAGACAGAGATTCCCGGGCTGGAGGAGACTGGACGAGTGACAACCAGACACAAGGGCACATTCTGAACTGGAGTCTTTGGATGCCCATAAAGGACATCGTGGGGACAACTTCCAGGGAGCCTGAGGATCAGACAGCAGTAACTCATCAATGCCAGGCTCCTGATTTTGATGGCTGCGTGGGATTAGGTAGGAGTCCTTAAAGAAAACTCAGGAAAGTATGTGGGGAGTGGGTGGGGGGCCATGTGTCAGCAACTAACTGTCCAGTAGTTCAGAAAGAAAAGGTGGTGACACTGTGCACTCAGCCTGTCTGAAGAGTAAGACTGCTTTGAAATTCAAAGAGACCCAGAGAGGAGGCAGGAGGGGGTGGCTGTGGAAACCCAGGTTATAAAGGTCCAGAGAGCAAAGCACGGAGCAGGAGGGGGCGGAGCCCAGCAGGCCCTGATGCAAGCCCCTAGGAACCAGGCGGCAGGTTCTAGGAGCCTTAGCCTGGGGTGGGAGGGATGCCTCCTCAGTGCTCCCCACCGCACAAGGAGGGTGGTAAGTCCCTCTCAGTCTGCCGCCTCACCTCCTGCTCCCCATCCTAGGCGCAGGCTGGCAGCTTTCCCAAGGAGGGGGCCCAGGCCAACGTCAACTGCAGAACCCCTGGCCTGGGACAGGGGAGGTGCAGGGAAGGGGCCTGGGCTCAGTCTAAGAGCTCTCTCAAACCTGAAGCACCCCCCAAGTCTGCCTCTCCCCACTAAGTCCGGCCCAGCTCCCTGTCCCCGCTGTTCCCCAAATCTCCTCCCCACAAAGCCCAGGGAAGGAAGTCAGCTCCCGAGCAAAGGAGGGCAGTGGAGGCCTTGCTGCCCAGTGAGCTGATGGGCAGCAAGCACAGGCTCCCAGACTGGCTAGCAAATGCCCAGGCACCCCGTCCCTGGCTCCCATCACCTGCCCAGCCCCATAAAATCTGCGTTCACAAAATCTCCCCCACCGTGGTGGAGCACAGGTACAGTTTTAGATACACCCTGAGCCCCCTAAGCATCCTCGAGAGACACCCCAGCACACCTCTGCCCCTGACAGTCCCTGGCTCAGGGTGCACTGGGATGGGAGACTCAAGATTTGCCTCCTGTGCTGTGCAGCCTTGAGAACCTCTGCAGCCTTCTCTGGGCCTCACAGTCTCCAGATGCAAATGGGAGGCTTTGAACCAGACAGTCTGAATTAGATAGTATGGGACACAATGGGACAGTCCTTTTGAGATGAAGGGCTTGGGAGCAGTGGATGGGACATGCTAATGGTGACAGAGCAGAAGGTCTGAGGAGACCTCAGGCCTCTGATAAGAGGCTGTGAAACGCTGGTGTGAAGGAGGAGACCAGCTCCCAGCAAGTGGCCCCAGCTCTGTGACCTCCACGCCCCTGCTGAGAAACAGGTGTCCTGTGATCCTGTGGAAAGGGCAACCACAAATGGAGGAGCGTCTCCAGAAATGGTGGAGGAGACCACTGAGGTCCGTTAGCCTCCTGTCTTCAACACCTGAAGGGGCTGTCACTGGAGAAGGGAGCAGATGTGCCCGTGAGGCACCGAGGGCCCAACAAGCGAGGGGCCCCACTACCCAGAAGCACAGAGACACCCACATGGTGAAAGGTGGACTGAGAGGGAATCGGGGCGTCTGGCTGGCCCCTGCCCCCTCCCCAGGCCGGCTCTGCAGGCACAGGCAGAGGATGTCAGCGAACCCCATAAAGTAAACGAGCCCATAAAGCGCAAAGTGCCGTTCCAGGGCCACGGCTTGTTGTGACAGTGATCATCACCTTCCTGACAAGTGGCAGGCAGCCGCGTGAAGCAGCCCGCGGCCCTGCCTGCGCTGGGTTTGCTGGAGAAATTCAGGGGCACATCAGGAAGCCACCTGTGTCCCCACCCACACCTCCCGTGAGAGGCAGAGCAAGGCCAAGGGGTCCAGCCCAGGCGTCCTTCCACCCGCAGGGCAGGCCCACGGGGAAGCAGGGGCTCTCCCGGCCCTAGGGACGCCCGGGTCCCTCCCTCCCTC